AAAGCATTATACTGACCATTTGAAAGACAATGATTTCCCAGATTTTATGCATTATGATTAAAATAAAATATGCAAGAACAAACAGTTTTGACGTCATAGTTAGAATGCAAATCACCATATTGGCATACTTTGAAGATTGTTTGATTGCTCATCTATTACCTTTAATTTGGTGCAAATCTCATCTAAATCTGAGCAATAATGACAAAGTTAGGGGCCAAACACTGAAAATAGCTCCCAAAAGTGGGCGTGGCATATTTACTTTGTTACCATAGCAACGCCATATCGGATTCAGAATTGTCAACTTAATATTTCCTGATTGCATTATCCATTACCTTCCATTTGGTGTTAATTTCACCTAAATCTGAGCAATAATGACAGAGATAGGGACCATACACTGAAAAGAGACCCTAAAAGTGGGCGTGGCATATTTACTTGGTTACCATAGCAACGCCGTCGCGGATTCAGAATTGCCAACATAATTTTTCTTGGTAAGTATCACGTATAGTTCCTGAAAATAAATGTCGCTTAGCTCGCCTCTAAAAAGGACACGGAATGACCTTTGCTCCCATACTATAATTGCTATGTACATAGATAACCCTATATTTCGCTTGGTTCTCCATTCTAAATCCGTTTAATACAAATGATACAGAAAAGTTCAGACGGGCAAACAGGTGACAGGTCATCTCAACCCCAAGTCAACTCAACCCCAGTAAGACTCAAGCCCGGTAAAACTCAACCCCAAGTCAACTCAACCCCAGTAAGACTCAAGCCCGGTAAAACTCAACCCCAAGTCAACTCAACCCTCAACCCCATTCATTCATTCATTCTTTTTTACTTTACACGGCCTAGATGATTAGGAGAGAACTTACATTTTGAAGTATACTGTCAGTTTTTATATGCCATTTCAAAGTAATTTCATTACAATCTTAAATCAAGATTATGACGCATTTTATTCAACAAACTTTTATATCATGTGGAACACAAATTTGTCAGGACTTAAATATATAGGGGTTGAATTTTACTGGGGTTGAGTTTTACTGGGTTGAGTTGACTTGGGGTTGAGATGACCAGGAAGCGAACCTAGTTTTGAAAAGCGAAATATATAGGGACAGGCTGCCGCCTTTGAATAATGGTTTCATACTTTGAATGGATAGCCCATTACCCCCAACAGGATTATGTCGAGCTTCAGAGACCCATAAAGAATAGGTTAAAATCTAGATATTGATTTTGACAATGTTTCATATATTTTTCCTGTCAAGCTGACTTTTTCTTTTGGGCAAAATGTTACACAAAATATGAATGATTACCGCCAGTCCTATACATTTTAGGATTGGGGTAACGCGTTTCTTTACTTGGATAAAATAGCCGAGCGTGAGACGCCCCCTTGTTGACGTCACCAATATTAGGATTGCAGTGAGTTGTCTTTCGAAATCTGTATCTTAGCGAGCACAGGCGCACATCAAGAGGAACAGATAACATTTAATGATTCACGATTGATGCTACCAATAATTGGACGATATCACCTTTGAAATATGCTTTTAAGGCTGATAATCTGATTAGAGTATCCCTTATAAGACAACCTACAGTCGACTCTGCCATTTGTGAGACTCGCAACAAGAACCCAAGCGAAACGAGGGGCACCTTGACAACATACTTTGCTAACTTATAAGGTAACTATATTAACTACTTTCTACACTTTGATAAAATAAGCGTATTGAAACTAATGCAATTTCGATCTTCAAAAGTGTCAAAAAGTGTTATCGATATTTATCTATTTGATAAGTATAATATTTGATTTTTAGGTTGTTCATTCTATGGAACAAGTAGACTTAGATTTAGTTCCAAATTCGGAGACTAGAATCATGTCATATTTTTTCACCGGGTTTGTACATTTCTATAATTATGGATTTGATAAATCGTAACACAGTACTTTGTGAAAGTAAGGCTATCCGTTTTGCTTTATTTTGATAGTGGAAATCATCGGTCGTTTCTTCTTTAATTTGTCAATGTCTTATTGTTTAGCTAGAGTTTTAGCCCAAAAAGATACAGTCGCCAAATTAATAACCATTGCATCAGTTGTTAAAAGTCTAACTGTGCGAAATAAGAACGGTGGTGAAACTGATATCTTTTCGTCGATTTAACGCCAAATTTAACACTAAATATATTTTGAAATGTGACATATTTGACAAATGGACATCCACAATATAAATAGATAATAGATTAACTGAAGACTTGTAAGGCAATGCATAACTTACACCGCTGATTTTATGGCATTTCGCCCCTTAACATTTAAATCAGACTGCTAGGTGTGATATGCAAGCTATTTGGATGGATGTATTCATACTTTTGGGGCGTTTTAGGAAATATTCATTTCAAAAGGATGTCCTAGTTGCGTTAAAAATACAATGTTAATGTCTTTACATTGTCTTTTAAGAAATAATCCCATTAACTTAAACATAGACGTTGACATTTATACCTTTCTTAGATTACTTAATTGTGTTTATAGTATGAAATAATCCATGGAAAAGAAACCATTAAATAACTGACGTACTTAAAATTAAAAAAATTTGCAGTTCGGAAAAGAAACCATTAAATAACTGACGTACTTAAAATTAAAAAAATTTGCAGTTCGATATCACGGTGGGTAGACCCTATGCAGCCCCACCATGGCATTCTATTAGAGCCTTTCTATAAAACAGAAAGATGTGATTATATCAGAATGGCGAACTTGAGCTGCATATGTTGCAATTCGGCGACTCTCAGTTTTGGTTTGATGTATCTTTGCTTATAACTGACTTATTATCATTGACTACTATGCCTAATTTTATAGTTTTTATAATTGCCTTATTGTCCGTGTTTGTTTTCAAACAGGGCATTTAATGTTATTAGAACATGAAGAATCATATTCATTAGTAATGTATAGATACATCTAGATGGTTGCTACAGAAAGGTGCAAACTATCTTTTCGGAATCATATACAGTATTGAAATATTAAACTCTGAATTCTAACCGCAATATTTTGCTGAATAAAGTACGATTAATGTTGTATGCTCTCATTAGGCCATCAGAAATTGTTTCATTGTTTCCTATTAAATGTGTTAAATTTATGGCTACAAAAGGGTACATATACCAATTTGCAGTAACTAAACAAACACATATTTAGTATATAATATGTATTTAAACAGTTAAATACATAGTATAACATTTAAACCAAGACCACCTGGGATTGTTAATTGATTTCATATAAATGATATTTGGATTTGTTTGTTTTTTGGTGATTTACTCAAAATCACACAAGCAAGTTGACGTCAAACAAAGAATCTACTTTTTATGGCCTTAGCTTTGCAACGCCTTCAGCTAGGGTACCTCTGCGTTCCCGTAATGCAGTAATTAAGGAGGATAATCGTAATATAAGATGAAAAACGCCTATTTGTTCTTGTCACGTTCTATGGTTTCTTATTACAAGTTTCAATTTATTCGATAAATACTTGATGTATCTTGCTAAATCATCTGATCAATTGATTGTAGCCAGGTGAATAGTTTACCATTTTATTGCATTTACTAAAAACAGGTAAAATTGAATTTTATCTATTAGACCATATCCCAATAGATGTTACATCGTATAATGAATTTATTAATATTTGGCCACTGTTTGTTTATAGCACACCGAAAATAGTATCATCATATTTCATTCTTACCCTTATTCGGAGATAGTGATATATTATACGTTTACAACTCTAAACCGGATTTAATTATAACTTGGTGAATGAATCTAGGGTCATTTTCTTAAACTATGTACTTACTGACCAAACCGATCTGAAAATAGTTATATACGGCGCGTATCTTCTATCATTGACAAAATAAAAGACTCTTAATGAAACTTTTATCCGATAATTAAAAACATTTTATTGCATCGGGAGAGATCCGCTATGTTGAAATGAAAAGTGGCAGGTGTAAGATAGGTGCTAATGATCACCAGTTAACAAGGCTATGTTCACATGTAAGATACTCATATAGAATTTCCTTTTTACTGATATCTATTGACAATGGAAATGATCAAGATTAAGCCACCGTCGACCACGTAACAAATACCTGTCATCAATCCTCATATTTCCAATGAAATTAGATCATACAACACTCCGGGTATTAGCGGCTCATCTTCAGCACAATACCGAGATTAATTTGAACATTATTGTTCACGACACATGATATTCTATTTTTTAAACCTGGATATTATTTTAGGTGCTGACGTATATTGTTAATCAGATAGGTTATCTAAAATAAATAATCCAACATCTAATCTAATCTAACATGCTATTTGGTAGTAATAAAATCAGATATTCAGGTATTGAGTTAATTGTCTGAATTTAATTTTTCCCGTTGTTCTAGATTACCGGATGTCTCGGGCTATTTTTATGGAAACGAGGCTTGCAAGCGTTTTTACGATGATAGGAGATTTCACTCTTCTTGAAAACAGCTCAATTTAAATCTACCTAATTGTTGATTGGCTCTTATTTACGACCTATATCTTTCTACAGACACATCTTCTCGGCATACGAGGTCTAAAATGTTTGCTGCAATTCAGATTGAATCGTTTATAGAATCCAGCATGTCCAAGATAAAAATGCGTGGGCTGCAAACACGCACTTTTATATCAGACTTAGAATAGGAAATATCAAGTTCGGTCAAGCAGACATCGTATACATTATTGTCCTATCGCTAAACAACTAACTAAACAATATTATTACATTGTCAACAGCTTACAAAGTCTCTATGCTAAACAAACGGAGTCTTTCGTATGAAATAAATAATTGCATATCAATTTCACAGAGGAAAGTACAGAACAAAGGAATCATAAGAGAGACACTGGATCCATAAATATCGAAGTTCAATACCTTAAATTGGATCAATCACCTCAAACACTTTCCAAATTCCCTTTTAAGTGACGAAGGTTACATATAGTAATTATATCACGGTTCCCGAATCTACACACTTCTGAACGCTGGTAGGTCACACCTATCACAAGCTCTCATATATACAGAGAGGAACGTTCACATTACTCGAAACGTGATTGAAGTCATAAAAATCTTAATTGAGTATAGTTTTGCGGAATAGAGACATTTCATTTATTTCATCTCTCATTTCAGATTAAGAGATGGATCTGGTAAACCCTTTTACTGCCCTGTTGGTGATATGGTTAGCAGTCGTCACAGCAATTCAAGAAGAGAAGAAAATGGACCCAAACTTGAGCGGATTGGTCTATGGGAAACGTATGAATCCAGACATCAGTGGGCTCGTCTTTGGAAAAAAGAAACGTTTTGACCCTGCCAGTAGCGGACTTGTTTTTGGTAAACGTTTTGACCCTGCAAGTAGTGGTCTTGTGTTTGGGAAACGCCCCTTGAAAGATGATAAGAAAATGGACCCAAGTATGAGTGGACTTGTCTTTGGAAAGAAAAAGCGATTCGACCCAGCTAGTAGTGGACTTGTATTCGGCAAACGATTCGACCCGGCTAGTAGTGGCCTCGTATTCGGCAAACGATTCGACCCGGCTAGTAGTGGACTCGTATTCGGCAAACGATTCGATCCAGCAAGTAGTGGACTCGTTTTCGGCAAACGATTTGACCCAGCTAGTAGTGGACTCGTATTCGGCAAACGATTCGACCCGGCTAGTAGTGGACTCGTATTCGGCAAACGATTTGATCCAGCAAGTAGCGGACTCGTATTCGGCAAACGATTCGACCCAGCTAGTAGTGGACTCGTATTCGGCAAACGATTTGACCCAGCTAGTAGTGGACTCGTATTCGGCAAACGATTTGACCCAGCTAGTAGTGGACTCGTTTTCGGCAAACGATTTGACCCAGCTAGTAGTGGACTCGTTTTCGGCAAACGATTTGACCCAGCTAGTAGTGGACTCGTTTTCGGCAAACGATTTGACCCAGCTAGTAGTGGACTCGTTTTCGGCAAACGATTCGACCCAGCAAGTAGCGGACTCGTTTTCGGCAAACGATTTGACCCAGCTAGTAGTGGACTCGTTTTCGGCAAACGTTTCGATGACGGAAGTCATCCTACTCTATTTTTCGGTAAAAAATCATCAGAAGAGAACTCAGCTGAAAGTATTGAAACTGGTGACGAATCAAACATGAACGATCTCACTGCTGAAGAATAAAAAATATTACGTGCAGTTAGCTATCTTCAAATATATTTTTTCTATATCAAATAATTCGAACAATCAATAATCTGATTTTCTTTAAATGGAATTATTTTGTTGAGGTGCAGCATTAGAGGATAGTTACATTAGTCGAATTCAGATATTACATTATTTATTAGTGATGGTTGTAACGTGAAATTTATTTTTAGCAAAAGTAAACAACTGAGCTAGAGATTTTGCAGGCATGTCAGTTGTGTCTTATTTTGTATCTCGCGAAATATGCTTAAAATCATCACTGGTGTACTTTTGCTATACCTTAAGTTATTTTCGAATTTATTGTGGTTTTCGCACTTGGGAGCTTGAAATAGATTCTCCAAGAAATGTTTACTAATTTGAACTGAGTAAATTTGTGATGAACACATTCCTTAATTAATATAAAATGTACAACATTTGATGAGCTATAATTAGTGCAATGATAGCTTTGTTCATTTGTAGATAATGTAAATAACAAATATTACGGCGTGGAAATATCAATTATCGTGTTCACTGTAATTGGAAGAAGTTCAATAAATTGAAGTTTCGCAAACTGATTTTAATCCAGATGCGTCTATTTTCTTTGCGTTGCTGAATAAATAGAAGTCTGAATGATGCAATTGGATTTCCTCTCGTATCTACATTTCAACATTTTAGACAATCTTCTCTGCTAAGTTAAATCCGTAAACTTGTTCAAATTTATTCGATTAGCCTAATCTTATTACTTCAGAAAAGGAACAATCGAGAAATGATTGAATTGAATCAGTCAACTGATGATGGTAAAATTGCTAAATATGGTGCCCCAGATTCAATCAGTTGGCCACAAATTAATCGATTAGTCTTTAACCCTGGGTTCAGAGTAAGTCCTAAACAGCGAATACCCTCAAACATATCATTCAGAATCCCAATAACCAGAATGACTTTTCACAAAGAGATCTGTTTACAATTGGATACATTCTCATCGACCACTGATAATCAATTTCTAGTTAGCAGTTTAATGATTATGCATTTGATGAGCGTAATTGTGTAAAACATCAAACAAAGTAAAAACGTAATGATAGAAATAGAAACAATCTTCAGTGTTACCTCGTACCCATATAAAGCTCGGGTACTAAGCTCAATGATAGGCCTTCATGTAACACGAAACAACTTGGAATTTCGGAATTTTCACTTTTGTCAGAGAGCGTTTTCATGGCATTCGGTGCTCGGCGTCTCTCGGCAAATGGCACATATGTAACCATATGAAAAATGTTGACGTTTTTTCATGTTACAGCCTTGTTCCAAAGTTGTGTCAGTCATCTACGTCTGGATATCCGTAACTGTTTTTTCAAGAATATGATAAGGAGTTCTGAATTCATCGAACTCCCTCGATACCCATTTAGGTGTACGACGCGACAATAACAGAGATTGCGATATTCAAAGAAGATTATATTCTAACAGAAAAATGTCGAGTGTATTTCTACGAAGATCATATTTCAAAGTAAAATGTCGAGTATGCTTTGAAGTATATAGGGGGGGGGGTGTATAGAGATATTGTATATCGTATAAGAAGCTGAAAATTTATTGTATATTGTATAAGAGGGGGCAAAATTTATCGTATATGGTATAAGAGGTGTAAAAAATATGGTATATGGTATTTTAGAAAATATGGTATATGGTATCTAGAATTAAAGAAGGCTAATTATGAAGAAATTGTACCCTAAAGTTCCCCCATTGTGCCAACTCTCTTACTGTAACCGTGTTGGAAAAACATGGAAAAGTAGTCTCTATAATTGTTTTCAAATTCCAGGTCAATCGATACTGTTAGTTTAGAGAAAATCCCTCTCAAACTAAGAGTTTTGTGCCCTTTTCATTCAAATTTTCACAGGAGGTGTTAAATACAGTCTCAAATAAGAATCACGCCCGGTGATCAGAAGAAATGAACGGAGGGGGAGTAGATCTAGCTGATTTTCGGTAGAAAATTCAACAAATCTTGAAGATTTATTTTTTCAAGAGAAAGTTTACAATTGAATGGCTAAATGAATAGACGCAGTGGACGGGGGAATATGTTAGGTCTTTTTGGATTTTTTTTAACTTTGGAGTTCTAAAATAAAAGATCTATTAAAAAAGTGCAGCGTCGCCAACATGCAAATGCCAATGTTTTTGCTATAAATCAACCAACAGGGGTCTCCACGACCTGTAATAAATACTTGTAAGTGAAGTAATTATCACAAAACTATTGGGTTTTGTAAAACATGTTACCATACGTTATATAAAAAGTAATCGAAAATTATTAAAATTGAATGGAGGGGGGGGGGTAATTTGTCTATAAGACATATGAAAACTTCCAATAAATCCATATGTCCCCATTTTTCACTTTTCAGAGTTGTAACATCAAGTTACTGAGTAAGTGAGTTCATTTTTCAAGTACACGAATTTGTGGAAATTTCTTCCACCTTAAAGACATTTTACTCCCCCCCTCCGTTCACTCCCCCCCCTCCGTTCAATTTTAATTATTTTCGATTATTTTTTATCTATCATTTGGAAAATTATTTTAAAAAACCGGCAATGAATTTTGTGATATAAAAATGTCGCTTATATATTTATTACATGTCGTGCAGACCATTGCAGACCATTGTCATTTGCACGTTGGCGACGCTGCGCCTTTTTTAATAGACCTTTTATCTTAGAACTCCATCAGTTCAAAAAAATCCAAGAAGACCTAACATATTTCCCTCTGCACTGCACCTATTCATGTAGCCATTCAATTGTAAACTTTTGCTTGAAAAAATAAATCTTCAACATTTGTTGAATTTACCGAAAATCAGCTACTCCCCCTCCGTTCATTTCATCAGATCACCGGGCGTGAGACTGCCAAATGTCATTGACCATCTTAACTTTGATGAAAAATATGGTCACTATGGCTACTCGTGTTTCGGGGTATGTGGGATAAATCATGAAAATATTTGAGTATAAAGTGTTCATACAGCGCATGTTTTAATACAAGCATCACAATGCTAATATAGCATAATATAGCAAAAGGTGTTTATTTGGTCTTCAAACCGTCATGTGTTGGATTTCGGCTATTTATTGGGGATTTGAACAGGTGCATATGTTAGGCCAATGCATTAACTCCAGATCAAGCACTCATAGAGGTAATAAAATAATTTGAACTTTGAGACAGGGAAGGTTTTTCTGAAATGTTGTCCTTATTTTCAGCCCTTTCCACATATGTTTTTTCAATGTTTGATGCACCAATATGTTGCACTTTGAGACACAGTTAACCTCTAAAATATGATTTATTTGGGATAAAGTGGAAAACAGTACATGTATTTCCCATGTTATTTTCCCATAGGGAAAACTCATGTGGTCCATTGTTTTCAGCTCAATTTTGGTCATCCAAAATTGATATCTTTAAAACCCCTGCATGAATCATATTTTCATTTAAAGATCTTAACCATGTCTCAAAACGCAACGAGTGATCGATGCAACAAACATTGAAAAACAGGTGTGGAAAGGGCTGGAAATCAGGACAACATTACAGAAAAACATGTTGATGGGGTGTTTGCACCTTCCCTGTCTTAAAGTCCAAATTATTTTATAATCTCTATGACTGCTTGTCCTGGAGTTAATGCATTGGCCTAACATATGCACCTGTTCAAATCCTCAGAAAATAGCCAAAATCCAATATATGACTGAAATCTGTTGCGATATCGTCCATGGTCCTTTAAAAGAAAGTTATTTCTAGTTACATAGAGTAGTTTTCATTCTCATCAATACATCTTTGCCTTGAAATCATCTGTGAAACATGTGGTTTGACCTTCATGGAAATTTGCTTAATTTTGACACACCTTTGTTTAACTTATACTGTCTTTGAGGCTGCCTTATCTGAAACCACGAAGTGTCTCATGTTTCAAATGTTTAAACAATCAAGTCTCATCTTGCCTTTATTTCAAACTCTAGTTTCCAGACTCGAGTCCAATCAAAAATGAATTATCTACATGGAAGTTTGTGAAGTCCTTTATTTCTGAAACTGTTTTAAATACATAATATTTTCCAGGTAACTGCTTTACAAAATTATTGTGCATTGTGAATCTTCATTATCTATCTAATAAATATTTTCCTCAGCAAACTTTATTTTCATAGAACACATGATGAATCTTTTATTCAACATTCTCAATTTTGCATCAATTATGTTTCAAGATTTTTTTTCCCTGGCTCACTATGAAGGACATTTAAATAAGTCATGGGAAAGTAGGTCATAAGAAAGAGGAGCACTGGGTTCCACCCATTCCAATGATGCAGGTTTTGTGCTAATTTTGAATATCTTTATGGTACTTTTACAGGTAATGGGCTAATGGCTTTAGCAAATTGCAGCAATGTCATAGTTAGTTTTTTTTGTCAAAGTAGGTTGCTAAATCACTAAAGAGAAGTCATGAATCTTATATCATAAATGTGTTTTAAATCAACTTGTTTACCTGAAAATAAAATGTGGTCACAGCTTTTCTGATGCTGATGCACCCGAATGGTGTCTAATTCATAATGAAATAAATGAAATCATTGTGGTAAGTATGTGGAGTCTAGTTGCCTTATAATAATACATTTACTTTAGTACATGGATTCTCTCCTAATATAATATTATTTCCTTATAAATATCCAAACTTTAATCAAAAGCAGTTTCAAAATTATCGTATATTGTATTTCACCTAAAATATCGTATATGGTATAAGAGCTGTGAAAAATATTGTATATGGTGAAAAAATATTGTATATGGTATAAGAGAGCTGAAAAATATTGTATATGCATTTCCAAGACCCTCTATACACCCCCCCTATATTAAATTGTGCTTTAAAGAAGAAATGAAATAGTATTCATTTCAAGGACACAGTGCCTACCTTGCGTAAAATATAACGGAAATGCCTAAACAAACTGGTCAATCTCGAAGGTAAAGGATAAAAGGTGGATTGGATCGGAAATCTTCAAGATATAGAATTTCTAAGTATTTTTTCTATTGATCTCCCTCCAAGAAAATTGGTGTTCTTCTCACATCCACATTGTCAAATAATAGATATACTATTATTTTGCCTTGTGGGCAAGAAAGGTTCTGATACACTCTTATTCATATCAAGTGGAATTTTAGGCAATTTAAATCATAAGGCAGACTGGTTTGAAGATCCATATCATCTGTTACAGTCCAAACAGAACATAGCAGAAATGTTTTTGGAACATCCACACATCAATTTGAATGATAGCTTTCATCTTCAGATCTATGTTTATTATATGCCTTACAAAAGTCGATTTACAAGGGAAATCAGTTTAATACTTAGAGTATCCATCAACTAATTGTAGTATTTATTTGTTTGTAGTCTAGCTACACGCCTCTGCGACCCCATCCTCTCTACTTGACTTAACACCTTCTACCTTGTAGTGGCGGGAGGGGGTCAGAAGGGCTTGTAGCTAGACTAATTTGTCTGTTGTTGGTTTGTTCCTCAAAGGGGCCAAAGTGGTCAAAAATCTTAAGAAACCCCATGTTTTGAAGATTTCCGATCCAATCCACCTTTTACTTGAATCCAATCCACTTGATCCAATCCACCTTTTAATCTTTACCATCTCGAATCTTTGATCTAGAAAAAGTCAGGTGTATTTCTAATATTTTAATAAAACTAAAACAAATTACCTAATTATCAGACGTGACTCGTAATCGTCCGTCATGCTCTGGGCCAACAACCGGAAGTGAAAATATGGATTTTGTGGAAGATGTCTGAAATCTGTAGCACCTCGTTCAGAGGATGTTGATTCATGAAGAACTCAAAAGAACAAACAAAAGGAAGTATAAAGAATACAGTCACGGATTCTATTTCTAGGGATATTAATTATTGGTAAACAATTAAACAATTGGTAAACAGCAAATATGAATATCGATAGGCCACCTGGAAGTGTTTACCAGAGGAAACAAATTCGTGGTTTATCCATATCGTCATCCAAACAGAATCTATCATTCCCGAGGGAATAAAATAAGAACATCATTTTTCATAATACAATACAAGCTATTAACCGTAATCATAACTAAATCTGTAAGACATAAGTTCTTCAATTGAGACAAATTCCAAAGTCACTTTTGGTGCGACAAGTCTATACCCTTAGGGATGTAAAAATGTAAAATAGTTATTACATTAGTGTACATCATTAGATTCCACTTCAGGAGATCTCACCTTTGCCCTTACGGACACTGCGATAAATGCGACACATCAAGTACTAATTTTTTCTGCTTATTTATTACCACTGAAAGTATTCTTCAATATAATGTCTTGGGGAAAATAATTCACCATGTTCCTCGTCATTCTGTATCTAACACTCATCACATCTCTCATTCTTACAACGATTGAAATGCCCATTGTTAACCTTTGCATTCGTTCGACTACAATTCACTTCTTAAAAGAGAGCTTCGTCTTTGTTTACAACTAGTCTCTGTGCGCAGGTTCGGTCCTGGCAGGGTAGTCCACTGTATACTGTATACCATAACGACTTTCCATAGAGAGTACAATGTGCGCAGAGTCTAGTTGTAGTTGTAGTCGAACCACGGGCAACTAGAGGTCCATGTGCAGTATGGCAAATGATTTTAGACGGTCATATCTTTCACCACGAGTACTTTCTGACCATAAATACAATGGTCTTTAACAATATGTCTTCTTTCAAGTGAAATCCCCATGATAGTAAAATATCAATTCAACTCTTTGAAAAATTAAGATTTAAGACCCCACCTTGGCACTTTTTTGAAAATGTAAAGCTTATTTTCTCAAAAGAGAATATTTTTTTCTCAATTTAAACATATCAAAAGTTTCTTCTACACTATATTAACACTTTCTGAAAAGGGGATAGGTATTGAAATGCGTTAAAGTTAAAAACCACATATCCCATGTTATTTACCATAGGGAAAACTCGTGCTATCCATTGTTTTCAGCATAATTTTGGTCAGCGAAAATTGATATCTTCAAGACTAGACTTTCAATACCATTCTACTTTTGAAGAAGTTTTAGACCCCTTGTTGAATAATCTTTTCATGCAATAAAAATCAGAAAAAGAAATAAAAAAATTGTTGACATGGGGTCCCTATTTATAATTTTTCGGATTGTTCGATTGATATTTTTATCATTATTGGTACTTCACTTGAAAGAAAACATATTGTTTTCATAAAAACCACTATATTTATGCCCAGAAAGTACTCATGGTGAAAGATATGACTGTCTTAAATCAATTGCTATACTGCACATGAACCTTTCAACTAGAGTTGAATGTCCATGGTCGAACGAATGCAGAGGAAACATAGAGAGATAGAGGTAATTATTTCTTTGCTCTCTGTAAGGGTCAATCTAAAACGAAGAAAAGAATACATACATATTGTGAATAAAAGCAGTATGAGTAACACAGAGATGGTTCCTTTTTATGGTATCCAAAAATCAATACATGAAAGTGACCAGCAGTGAATTCAATCCTGGATTGAAATAAGGTTTTCGATTACACCAGAGACGAATGATGCAGTTAATATGTCACCGATTAAGATTGCGATCTATATATCATAACCAGAACAGAGGATGAAGAAAAGGAAGGGCATGTCATTAACGCATTCCTTGTGAAAGGTTGAGCAAATGATGCTCTAATAATGAGATTCCTTGTTTTAAAAAGGTTTATTGCAAGCCTAACTTCAGTGTCTTATTTGTCATTATTGTTGATCCAGATGGTGGACGTTGATGCCCAAGCTCATTATGATATGCCATGCTGCAATTACTACTTGCGCGCAGTCTATATAGTTTTAAACAAAATGTCGATAGTTATACGAAGCTCTATTTTGAGAAGTGAAGTCGAACAAATGCAAAAGGTATGATGCAATTTTGGTAAACATTTATAAAGATTTCATATTGTGCGACTACGCACAAACTTAATATGAAACATATATTTGACACGGTATGTATAATTTGAAGTAACAGACTGTCATGTTATCATCATGAAAAAGAGAAACAATTCAAAATACCAACACAAATATACTAGCTCTCGAATAACAATAAATAAGAAAATCGTTTAAAAATGACACAGAGAACTGATACACAAAGCACAAAAACGATTTTGGATAAACAAGAGATTCGGATCACAACAAAAGTGTTTGAACGGAAGCTTACGTTTTGCTGGCCTAGCTAGTTATTGGGATTTTAACATTTTCATTTGCTATGAACGTCACATACAGACAAAGTCTTACCAGGAGATTATCGCGCTTTATCATTGAACACATTGATCTTGGACCCAGCTCGCTATTCCCGCATCATAATCCGCTATAAATACAAGATTACACTCATTAAAACATACTTCACCTTTCCCTATCTCTTCTTGTGCACACCATCCCAAATAATAATTAGTAATGAAATTGTTTTTAATATCGCAATGAAGAAATATTAATTATAATTTTGTTTTGGTTAACTTCCATTGTAAACTTAGATAGACTTTCTACTAAAATCACCAGATGAAATGTTCAGCCTTGCCATCTACGATTGGATGGTAAGACGTTGATACAAAGTGTCGCAATATTACATCTCCGCACATATTCCAAGTTCAACCCGATCAGCAAGTTGATTTATATTCGTGCACATTGCTTATCTAGGGATTTCTATCCACACCATTCAATTTAGCCAATCCCACTGGTAAAACAAAAAGTATTTAATACTAAATCACCTGATGGCATCTTTGTAGCTTGTAATACTAGCAAAACTCGTTTGATTGGCATATCTGATGCCCTATATTTCTATTAAGATACTTATTCGAAATTGTATGACAGCAATTTGTCAATATTGGTGTTGAAAATTAACCGGCGAATTTCTAAAAACGAAACGGTAGCTTTGCGCATTTTTTCTTTTTTCTCAAAACGGCGAGTTTTAGTTCTTTGCGGTGGCTCACGTCATAGTTTATACTATAGATTTGCAAATGAGATTGGCGGAGGTTGAATCGAAAATGGGTTAAATGTCATTAACCATAGTATCAAAACAAGACTGAGTGCAGTTCTGCTCATGCCGACGTATCAAGGGACTGTAATGTATTTTATCAGTTTCGTAAATCATGAATTTTTTTATCGAGATACAATTATTATAGACTGAGTGACGTATACTGACATCGCAAGCTCAATGCCCAACTACATAACTATATTATGACTGTTTATTTAAGATAATCCCGATATTCATCATTAGACAGTTGCAATTCAAATAGTAACCTCATTTGGATGGTAATACAATATACAATCTATAGATAGTTTGGAAACCAATGTAAATTAGCATTCAGTCAAACTGTTCACATATTATGTTTGATGTGGGTAATACGGTTTCTATAAATCTAATGCAAATTGAAAATTGACGTGATATATTCGATAGAGCTAGAGTATAAATACACATCATTTCGGCACTTTAATTATCGAAGTTACGTAAATTTGTAATTAGGACAAATTAAGGGTTCATCACGTATCCTTAGGTCCATATTCTTACAATAACCTTTCAACTGTAGCTCATTTGCGATTGTGAACTGAATTCCGATTCCCGGGAGAGATGCGCTCTCTTTGTGAAAACAATAAAAATAGACTGACATATAGTTGGTCAAATGTTAAAGAAAATGGAACATGAGTAGAAGATGATACCCTAGTGTCTTTAAGCAGCTGACATTGATACAAATATGAGATTTGTATGGCATTTGGAAAAAATGACCTACGATAGTATACATTGTTCAAAATGTTTCGCAGGGATTTCTAAAATATACTCCCTTCTTTTTTTCTTGTTCCAAAATCTGTATCAAAGTGTAAAGAATATTCTACACTCGTCTCGTGCATGAAAACATATTGGCGGAATTCAACATGACCGCTATGACAACATTGCCATCTTTAAATGTCGTTTTGATTTATCAGAGTCTCTCTTTATCTAAATAGTATACGAGCCTGTGGATCCCAAAATGGATAAATGCCTTTCGAATCGGCATTTATCAAAATGATATCCTAGAGATGCAAACTTTAGATGAATTCTCATCCCATATTACAACATTAGCAAGTGGAGTATACTCTTGAAACAAGCAGTGTTTTAGTTTAATACATAAGTCTTCTTGATGACACAAGATGTACATCTATTATTAAAGGATTTAAGTACAAGAACTTAAAATCTAGAAAAAGGCTATCGAACGATGAAATAATAACGGGGAACAACTGGAATAACATTGATGTGTCATGTTTTTCTATCATAGATATCATTCATTAAAGTGAGAAAAGTTAACATGTCATGCATCATTGAAACATAATTTCGTCATTCTTAGTATTTTGATACATGGGGGCGAGTGTCGTGTCTCACAAGTGAATTGTCTATGTCAGCCACTTTGGCCACTCCACACAATGCCATGGCGTTGCTCAGCTCATCCTCTAACAATGTCAATACTCTGTCTACACCAGCCTCTCCCCCACACGCCAGTCCCCATAGTATAGGTCTACCAACGAATACAGCACGAGCACCTGCAATTACACGTAGACCATGCATCAAACACAGCGATGTCAGGAAGGGCAACATTCGAGAACAATTTTGGTTCTGTAGTAATTAGACAAATACAAGACATCAAAACATGTATTAATGTTTAAAATAGAAATTTTGAATAAATGAGCAATCGTAAAGATCAACATCATGTACCTAGTGCCAGGGCCTTGATTATGTCGGTTCCACGTCGAATACCACTGTCAAGATACACCTCGCATCTTCCATTGATCGCCTTAGCCACCTCCGGGAGTGCTTCAATACTTGCAACCATACCATCAAGATGTCTAGCTCCCTGGTTCGAGACTATAATACCGTCTGCCCCGTGTTGGATCGCTTCATTAGCTGATTCTGCTGTTAATATTCCTTTGATAACAATTGGTAAATTTGTAATAGTTTTTAACCAATCCACGTATTCCCAAGATGCACTTGGGTCGTGATATTCTATCTTGCCGAATTCTTTCAAGTTTGGGAGTTCGTGAAGGGGAGTAAATCCAAATCCTCCCGAGGACATGAGACGCCCGAATTCACGACCAACGACTCTTGAGTCAATTGTAAGCACTATGGCTTTATAGCCACAATTTTCCGCCCGTGTCACCAACCTCCTTGTTGTCTCTTCTCTGTGATGAAACGGATGAATCTGGAACCATTTAAGCCCTTCCACGGTTGCCACATCGTCCATTGACACACTAGACCAAGTGCTTACAACCATACATGTTCTATGAGCGCGTGATGCCTTTGCCGTTGCAAGCTCCGCATCGACGTGCATCTTATCCTGTGCTGTAGTCACACCAACACATATCGGAGAGTTTATATGTTCTCCAAGTAAGGTTGTGCCCATGTCAAGTTGAGAAACATCTCGCATCACACGAGGTCGAAACAGATACCGCTGAAAGTATTCACAATTTCTCTTCAATGTTTGACCAATACCAGCGCCATGAGAAACATACCTCCAGATCTTAGGCTCGGTGTTCTTTTCCGATTCCCTTTCAAAATCCTCAATTGTCATTAAATCTTCCAATTGACCCTTGCTGTCATTCGTCGATCGATCCATTATTGCTGAATCAGGTGTAGGTTCTCTGGCATTATAATCCAAAGAATCACATGCATTCGAGTTGCTATCTAAAAATAAAGATAACAAAACAACAATGTCAAATGCACGTAGTATTGTTGACATATAGTTCAATCGTTGTTAACTAATAACTAATGACATGTAACGGTCTTGAGATACCAATTGAAAACACCTATTTAAGAGTCTTGAGAGTAAAGAGTAATTCTTTGCATGTAATGCAATCGGAAACCCGTGTATACTTGCATAGTTACTCTATGCACCTTAATTCACAGAGGAGCCGTCTAGACTTCAAGAGATTCCATCATAAAAAAATGAATAACTACAGTTAAACCTGTGTATAGTGAACAGTTTTGGTAGGTGTTCACTACAGCGAGGATTTGATTGCGCGGCATTTTGCCGTTTTATTAAAGAGACCAGTTATTAAACAAGGCTAAAAGAGAGGCGGGAATAATCAATTTAATTTGTATTTTCTACCCATGATAACCTATGACACTCTAGCGATAAGTTTTGTTTTGTTGTAAACTGACTTATTTTAGACTGACAGTCATCTGAATGGTTCATCCTTTTATTGTCAAAATCCTTTATGATCTCATTGAGATGACCCTTTAGATAGTGGAATCCTTTACACGTTTGAGTCAGCTAAAGGAATGTATTGATTTAATTCAAGAACATGATAGAGTCAATTAAAGGTGATAATTTTAATCCAATCTGTTTTTTAAATTGATAGGGATAAGAAAAAAATTAAATTGGGATTTATCGATTAATAATAGTTAACCAGATTATCCCCAAAGCAATCGATGCTAGACGAATATCCTGTCTCATAAAAACAAAGCTTACTTAAGAATTATATTTAGTCACATCTGTTTCAACAGAAGAGGAGATCACCATCTCAAATTGACCTCTTAATTATTTTTGTAGCAGGTAATATAAACATAAGCTGCTTAACTCTGATAAGGCAGTTGCAGAAAATCCGCCAGAAATCTTATATCTGATTCAATGTTCACTAGAGACAGAACAATACAATTGATTTTGCCAAGATTTAGTGTTCACTGTTCATAGTATGTAGGTGTTCACTATAGGATTTTACTTTAACATGGGAGTTAATGGGAGAAAAAGGTTTGCCAAAAAAACGTTCACTGTTGATAGGTGTTTACTACAGAGGTGTGTTCACCAACTCAGGTTTTACTGTATTTACTTACGTACTGGATATTGCTGTAAAGATAATGAATCAATGTATCTTGGTAAATCTATCCCAAGAGATGTGAAATATGAATAAAAATAGTATGACATCAATGTGTATCCGCACGGTGCGTTTTCAAACGATCTAAAACTATAGTTTCACAATTTATCTTCTAAATCCTTACAATTTCATGTTTACCATGTACTATAAAGTTGAATTCTAATTAAAGTAACATGTAAAACAATGGGATAAGTCAAAGTTGAGAATCAAACCTTTCGTGAATACACATCGGCGTCCCAAATCCGATTGTAGTAGAGCATCTTACATTTTACGCAGGTTCGTTTATATATGGGTGATATTAGGGAGGTTAAGCTACACGTTTTGCAGAGAACTTATACGTAAACGTGAAATATTATGGCCCCGAGGATTACTCTCCCCTATTAAACTGGGTTTTCCAGGGACCTCATTAATTACAACTAACTTTCTCATACCTTTATGCTCAGTTGGACAAGTAAATACTACAAAAGGGAGAAATCATTCCTAAAGATTAGAGAACAATAATTCTACACGTTCATGTAAAAGTTTTCTTAAAAACGTGTAGCCTAACCTCCCTTATGATAGATATGCAGCGTGTGACAGGATTGCTTCTATTTCTAAGTAGTGTTCATCTTCAATCTTATCAATTTAACAATAGAGTGTTGTCGTTGATATCATTTAGTTCAAGAACACTACCAAGCTAAATGATAGAGACACTTGGTGCATGTAAATAAGTGAAGGTAGGCCAGTTAGTAAGCTATATCACAACACACCCTCCTCTCAGACAAATACTCGTACTTACATCACATGATTTCCTCGGGAATCACAAGACTGAAAGAAGAATCTCATGACAGAACATACGTGATAAACGATCTCAAACGAAACGACAATCTCAAATTAAAATGAAGTGGCTTGACTCGCAGTAAGTTCAACTTTATTTAGGCTTTCTCCATGCAGTGTTTAGTGGTAAATTAATAATGGTGTGATTACATGAAATGATGAATAAAAAATCAACAAGATAATTTAACCTAGCATCAAATTAGCCTTTTTAGGTATTATTCCTTCCCTTGGTATAGTAGCTCTGAAATCGGTATATGTTAAAAAATTAAAACAATTGTTTTTCTGCAATAAAACTTTTCTTCTTGATTTAATCTAATTAGATAGGACTTTCTCAAAATCAATGCAAATTAGGCGAATAAATTCCTGGGACTCAATCCCTATATCTAGAAAATAAGATACAAATAACGAGGCAAACAAAAATCATTCACAAAAAGCTGCCAAAGCGAACATAAATAGCAAATAAAGGAGCACGTAGGTTATCGCTAACAATTTCAAAAGATTCTAGCTTGAATTATGAATATTTTCTGATCATGAACATGGGTGTATCTTTTAGATCCATTCATTATCTTCAAGAAAAGTATATAATGATAATTTAGTTAAGTGATATTGAAGGGGCAATGGACCAATCAACATACCTTTTCAAAAATATTGACCCAATTTTCACCAAAAATGCAACCTTTTATTATATTGTTGAATGCATAATTAGAATGTGCCTTGAGACATGTTCGATTTCCTAAAAGGAAAAGTTGATTGCTCCAGGGACTTTAAAGATACTGACTTTGGATGACCAAAATTAACTAAAACCAATGGATAGCATGAGATTTTTCGATGGAGAAATAACATGGGGAACACCTATCTCCGAGTTTGTTTGACTTTATTATTACTGTATATAATTTTCTTTGAGATAATGAATTGATCTTAAAGATAAACCTGTCTTCATTGTCAGAAAATAGTCATAATCCAAGATATAACCTTTTGAAATTGTTTGCGATAACCTAAGAGCTCCTTTGTATACAGCAATAGCAGAATTGGAAATGATTGAATGAATACCAATATAAAACATGCAAACAACAAAACAGAGAGGTCATTCTTCTAAGAAGTGAATAGTAATTGAATTGCAAATGTCGCTTGCAACTTTGCCACCCTCTATATCTATAATTCTACTTTTGCAGAGACGTGACGCTACCCACTGCCCTAAAGGAAAGCTATGTGAGTGGTAACGTGAGGGGCAACTGGCCATTGTTGAAATATGGTCTTGGAGAGTCACTGCAACGTGCCGCTCAAAAGAAACCTAACCATGTTGCATTTATATATGCCGACTGTGATACTCATGTTTCATATGGCCAACTTTCAAACCGGGTAATTTGTCTAATTGTTATTTTTGCTTCATTTAAATAGTATTTGACCTAATTTGCATTAGCAATGTTGTCTCTTGTTTAGAAGAAATAAATTTTGTTCGTTGTCATCGTTCTTATTTAGTAGGTGGATAAACTAAGAATAGCAGAAACAACCAACTCCATTCTGATACTAATGAGATGACAGAAAACATGCTTTACCAGAATATGTTAACTTAATCTATATTCATACGTACTTCGTAGGTGAGCATTTTGGCAAAAGGTCTAATAGAATATGGTATTGTCAAGGGTGATGTAATTATGGTCAGTGGTAACCATGGCGCCGACTTCGCTACTCTCTTCTACGCCATAGCAAGCATTGGTGGTATTTTTGTCATGGTAAGGAAATATTTTCCAAACCGGCGTAAAAATAAATATATTATGGTCCATCAAAGATTAAGGTCACCGACTAGCTATATATGGCTTTTACTTTGCCGAATTAGTAGGCCCATACATTGGGAGTGGCTCATATTTACACAGAGCATCATCAATAGTCCACTGACATGTTGGCCATTGCTGACGTCAGTAATAACCACCTTTATTATTCTATTCCAGCCCTACATTTATGAGCCGAAACATCATAATCTAAAAAAGCTTATAAATAAGGTCAACGTAAAGATGCTCGTAATGCATGAACGTGATGATTCGATCGTTAAAGCGTTAAAGACAATTAACCAAGGCGTTGTGGTAAAAAATGGATGCGTGAACCAGATTGACAATGTGCATGAGATTGCCTCACTCAAGGCTGTAGTTGTACATAAAGACAATGAACTGTTAGATATATTTACAAAGGCCCAAACATCGGATAAGCAGCTGAATATAGTTCAAAGTATGGTCTCATCCGAAGATCCGGGTATAATATTCATGTCTACTGTAAGTTTATTTGTGATATGCAGGTGATGACTGTTACTCCATTCATTAATAATATCATACCACCCTGGATCACCCAGGATCTATGGCATGACATCTGGATCTATGACATGACATCTAGATCTGTGACATGACATCTGGATCTAGGATCATAATGATCAACGCCATTCTACCCGAACATTGACAAATCAATTATTAATACTTCCAATTTCAAATTATAACGTGCAGATATTTTGTACATTAGACCATCATTTGGGATATTTGGGATTTGTTTTCTTTGTATGACTATTTGTGCTCTGAGATATTTCATTTTCTATGCTTTTGCCCCTACGGCACCTGTACCTACATATTTGAGATTTAATCAGAAGAGATTTTCCCACTACATGGTGTCAAATAAATATGTTCTCCCCCATTAGCTTTAACATCCACACAATGTTGAATAACTTTTTTGTCTGCAAGATATCTGAATTGTTCTCTGGCACATCAAAAGTAGACTTCATGAAGCAACTCTACAAAAAGTTCCAGATGACTAGCTCAACTAGTTTCACTTTTACGCACAAAGGTTCAAACATTTGAAATTAAGGGGAGAACATATTTATTTGACACCCTGTATATGTTTCTGAAACGCCCTACCATGCATATTGTTGATGATTGGACCGTGTTTACTCTGTTACATCATGATCCCAAAATCTGATTCAGTTATTGTCGTTTGCTTTTATAGGGAACAACTGGGGAACCAAAAGCTATGCTGCACCGACAAAATAGTTTAGCAAACACACCATATTTCTGGCAACTACGTAGAAATCAACAGAGAAAGGTATTGAATTGTGTAAGATTTAGTCCTCTGTCTTGTTTTGAAACTACGTCCAAATTGAAATAACAAGTCTCCATTTGTTGCTACATGTATGCATTGTGTATAAACTTTGCAGTAAGCTATTGCTCATAACCATCTTTGTAAATGTTCTCCCATTATCATTGATTTCAAGCCGGTTGTCCTAGCTGTTGAGAACCCATTCCAAGATGATGTTTTGTGTCTGTTTGCTCTGACATCTGCAGTAGTAAACTTCGAGCACAGCGATGTTACGTGTGTTATAACTCCTGTAAACTCTCAGAGCCCCGGAGCTAGTGATGTTATTGTTGAAGCCATGGAGAAATACGGGGCAACACATGCTGATCTTTGGCCCTATATGTGGCAGGACATGATACGCTATGCTACAACAGATGGCCGTGATCTTTCGAAACTCAAAGGAGGTAAGGTTGTCCATGAGATTTCCAGAGATCGCTTGAACGTGAAGCCATGGTTTGACGTTTATACTGTATAGAATCACACCGACACGGTCGAATAAACTAATATTTCACATGCACTACATCCATAAATAAATTACTGCTGTTGATTACTCTCTTAATCTTTGTATTTTTCAGGAATGAGTGGAGCACAAATATTAGGAGTGGAAACTGTAGATGCATTCACAACTCTAGTTCCGGAATTTGTGGTAAGATAACAGTAATCTAGACTTTTTTCACCAACGTTTTTGTTTTGAAACGTTTGGATCGAAGGCGATCGGGCTGGCTTGAGTTCGGTTCAGGAAAATTCCTATAGCGACTTCCAATAACAATGTGACTCTGTTCCTGTTTTGTTTCATCTTTAGAATCAGTATGGAACAACAGAGACGCTTACAATCACAAGTAACTTTATAGATGACCCTGTGTACAAAAGAAGACTAGAATCTGTTGGCACTCCATTGCCACATGTAGAGGTAAGCAGAAAGGGATACCCCGAGTTTTATTTGAAGCAGTATCTAGGTCAAAACCAATAGATAGTATTTTAGATTCTGGAATGAATTCTTGGACTTACAATTCTGTGAGAAATAATACAATAAATGTTCTCTCTTTTATAGTATGATTGATTGATACTAGTATAATAGCTAGTATTAAAATTATGATAACTAGTACATTTCTTTGCATTTTTATTGCTCGTTTCAGATAAAGCTTACAGATGACCAACACAATGTGGTTCCCATAGGAGAGGCAGGAGAGGTGTACGTGCGGACACCAAATATGTTTATTGAGTATATTGGTGAATCTGAGAAAACTAGATCTGTAAAGGACGAATATGGCTGGTACAGGACTGGGTAAGAAGACTTTCAAAATCGACCGCGGTATACGAGATAAATAAAAAAGAAAAAAGTACCTCACTTTTAAGATATTTTCAAAATACAAGTAAAGCCTATCCGTACAAAATGATATACCGCTGAATCAGAGACATATATGTAATTTTATATGTCTTTGACTGAATAGATAATTCAATTCTCAAGAAAATGCTGCATGCGTTCATGCAATTTGAATAAATCTTAATATAAGTATCGTAATCTGTGTCCATATTTGGTGGATAGTTACACCTGGAAGCATATATGAGCATATATGATCAAATATACTGATTCCTCTTTTCTTTTGTTATGAAGGAAGTAGTACCAAATTGAATATTTTGATTCAAAGGGGTTTGTATTGATCCATTGCTTTTCCAATGTCACAGCGACGTCGCACAGATAGATCAGAATGGGTTCATCTACTTTATCGGACGTAAGGAAGACAACATTCGATTCAAAAAGATGTCAGATATAATCTATCCGGGAGTTCTAGAGGCTGCGGCAAGAAAATACAACAAGGTTGCGGAGGCCCAGGTAAATACAATGGGGGGTGGTCATTCAGTGTAGAAAGAGAATAAAGCTGCGTTATGGCTAAAAAATACAACAAGGTTGCGGAGGCCCAGGTAAATACAATGGGGGTGGTCATTCAGTATAGAAAGAGAATAAAGCTGCGTTATGGCTAAAAAATACAACAAAGTTGTGGTGACCCAGGTAAATACAATTGGGGGGGGGGGGGTCATTCAGTATGGATAAAAAAGTAAAGCTGCACTGGAAAATAATAGTGATTAATTTGTCAACAGTTTGGAAATAGTCAATATGGTTCTCGTTCTGGCAAATCAAGCATACAAGTTACAACACAATGGTGTCCGAAAGGGCTAATAGATGTGAATATCAGATTCTTGATTTATAAACATACGTTCTAAATCGTTAACTCTCATCACTCTAGGCTGTAGTAAAATAATTCCTTCATACTAACAATTTAATAGAATGGAACTTCCTTTTTGGACAACTAAGATGATGTCCATTAAATTGCTTATTAAAGTTATGACTTTTATAAGACAAAACGTTTTCCTATTTAGTGCGTGGGCATTCAGAGCGACAACTGTTTTGGAGATGACATCTGCCTCTGCATTATGTAAGTAGACTGAATATATGGGCAATACACATTTCATACACACCCGGACCCATATTATACAGCCTAGCAACATACCTTGAAGTTTGGTGGGTATAGCATCCCTACTAACTACAGTATGAAAATTTCATTGCGGTACATAATATTATATAATGCTCTTTGGATATCATGTTGATTACGCGGAATAAAACATACCTATATAGGTTTATTTAATCATATTTGTAGACTAAAGCCAGGCGAGAGTATGACAAAGGATGAAATGTGGGCACATTGTCGTTCAGAACTGATAGAGCGTGATCAACCGGACTATATCTTTATGATGGATACTTTCCCACGTGTCGGTGCTAGGCAAAAGGCGAGTGACAACAGTTAATATGTGCAATGTTAATGTGATTGCTTAAAGCCCTCGTTTAAAGTTCAAACCACAATATTTGGATGATTGACCAATATTTTCAGACTTTGCATGGGACCTTTAATATATGTTTTTCATGTCTACGATTCCATTGTCATTTTCAATAACATAGGCATCCCCCTAGTAATGCTCGGTGTTAATGTGATTACTTAAAGCCCCCGTGTAATTTGTAAAGTTCAAACCACAGTATTTGGATGACTGGACAATATTTTCAAACATCACATGGGGCATTTAATATAAGTAATTTTTACATCTATGATACCATTCTCATTTTTGATGACATGGACCCCCTTATAATGCTCAATGTTAATATGATTTCTGAAAGCCCCTATGTAAAGTTCAAATCAAAATATTAGGATGATTGAACAATATTTTCAAACTTTGCATGGAGCCTTTAATACATGTATTTTTTCGCGTCTATGCCATAGTCATTTTCGATGACATGGACAACCTACAAATATAACCAGAACAACGGCAACGCCAAAGCGTAGCAAATCCCATCGAACAGAAATGGCTGGCATTTTTACAAACGAATAGCAAATATCATAAAACAACACACCAGAAAGGCCACCATTTTCAAAATGGTTGATCACTAGCCAAGTTGTCATCAGAAGAAATAATATGCTTTTAAGTAGCCACCTCTAAAATCTTTGAAAAATCGAACACATACTTGTAAAATAACACACACAAAAATGGTGGCCATTTTTCAAAATGGCCGACTACTCCCCAAAGTTTTATTAGACAATGTGCCATGCTTAAAGCATTCACATATCAAATATGAACAAAATCGCTCTACTACTTTTCGAGTTATAGTAAAATACGTTAAAATGGTGGCCATTTTTCAAAATGGCCACCTTCTACCAAAAGTGTCATTAGAAATAGACAGTGTGCCATGCTTATAGTATTCACATACCAAATATGAACAAAATTGCTCCACTACTTTTCGAGTTATAGTAAAATACGTTAAAATGGCGACCATTTTTCAAAAAATTTTTCAAAATGGCTGCCTTCTACCAAAAGTGTCAAAGGACAGTGTGCCATGCTTATAGTATTCACATACCAAATATGAACAAAATCGCTCCACTACTTTTCGAGTTATAGTAAAATATGTTAAAATGACAGCCATTTTTCAAAATGGCCGTTTTCTACCAAAAGTGTCTTTAGACAGTGTGCAATGCTTATAGTATTCACATACCAAATATGAACAAAATCGCTCCACTATTTTTTGAGTTATTGCAAAAATCGTAAAATGACGAGTAAAGACCGCCATTTTTCAAGATGGCTGCCATGTGCTTCTTTAATATCTACATTTGTAGCATTATTAATGTCCTTTATGATTTTTTTACATTTAAAACATATTGCTACAGTTTTACATATTGCACCTAAATTACTGTAAAATCGGCACTAAAATGGCCGCCATTTTGAAATGAGCTGCCATTTTGAAAATCGGCTTTCGAGCAGAACTTCTACTCCCATAGGGTATATGTGTACAAAATATGAACAACATCGGGCCAACGGTATTTGAGTTATTGCCCGGACGGACGGACAGACGGACGGACGGACGGATGGAGGCGTTCCCTATATCCCTCCGAACTTCGTTCGATGGGATAATAATATATATTGCTGACACTTGGGTTGAGCATGAACTATTAAGAAAAAAAAAACTTCATGTTTGCTTTTTTTCCTTATAGATATCTAAGGTTAAACTGAGGGAGATTTGCCAGCAATTAATTGTGAAACAAAATCATGGAGATCAAAAACAGATTGGAGAACAATGGCCAGAAGAGACATATAACGGAAATATGAAGACATAGGCCATATTTTTGACAATAGTGCCGAGTCAGCAAAATAAAGGAAATATGTTTCTCAGATGCTCTTTCTCTATCACCTGTGGTCAGGAACTAGTTCATGGTCTACTAAGTCAGAATCTGAGAGTGGTTGCCATAAAACAGGGACCCTTCTGATACAAATACCTTCATACTTAACATGGATATGTTTTATTTACATTCTTGTAGACTTTGAGTGACTGGGGAAACATTCAGGAGGGGAACCTTAGAACATAGAACCCATGATATATTGTATTTTGATCTTTTAGAATAAAATATTTATAGTTTATCTGTTATATCTTAAATTAAGTACCATATGTCTCCGAGAGCATCAAAATACAAAATCTTGTCATGACTGCAAAATCCCCTATATTTTAACTGCACAGTTTCACATCAAAAAATGAATTATGCACTAAATAATCTTATAGTTAACCGGCATAATAAGAAGTGTTCAATGGATTTAAAAATGATGAGGAAAAATGACTTGGAAAAATGGAAGATATTGTTGTGTGTTCACTGACAAGCGTTCTGATCTAACATTTGATATTGGCCTGTTGGCTGCATTTTTACATTACTTTTAATTTAATACTATCACTATCATTGGTTTATCCTAGTATAATGTAAAAGAACAACAACAAACCAGTTATATTTTACTTTGTTTATTAAAGTACCTCATAGGCATTAGACTATTTACATATATTACATTCATATTTATATCTGGGAATAATCAAATTCCTTCACTGCAATTGAAACATGTAGAAAATATATATATTTCTACATTGCATTCACTCATTCTTAATCACAGCTGTTACATAACTTAAAATTCATTCATTATTCACATGACTAAAATGAAACATTAAAATATTTCAGCAATGTATCTCAACTAGACATCTTTCTGTTGATTGGTCATGATTAATAATGCTCAAAATGTAATTTCATGACAAGAACATATTAAGATATGACCAGAGAACTATCTTCTTTGAAAAGAGAGCTACAAAGATGCAGAGAGAACTCTGTATTGATTAAAAATGACATTTAGAGTGATATACAAGATATATTGGAGTCTAATGGACATTTATCTGACAGATTAGAGCTTGTTGCTCAGTCGCAATGATACATTACAATGGCTGGGGTCAAAACATCAATTTTTGAGAAACTAACTTAATGAAAGATCACAAACCCCTCTGTTAAACACTCATGCAGAGAAGTTTCATTATCACCAACTCCATGTTTATACTGTGTTTACTTCCCTCCTAATGTAATCAGTTACCCTAAAAATAATAAATATTGATGCTTGACCCAGCCTATCATATGACTTTAACAATATACTTAGTAGTATACCATCACTATCCAAACAAAAAATATAAAACACATTCTGGATATAAATATCAAGACAATCTCGACTATGGATGGTTTACTATGAATGAATCCATGCAATGTAAATCTCTGACACCCCATTTACATTTCTTCATTAAAATTTTACATATGTGCCAAGTTAGTTATAACAGACAATTTTGACAATAGCATTTTTGGCCATTCAACATCTAAATGTGGAAGTAGACTAGATGTGGTCATATGACAAATAGAAAAATAACATTTTGCTCAGTCACAATGATAAGTCAGAGAGGTCACAATTTTTTTAAGGTAATGAAAATGCACAAACACTGTACTGCATTATTATGTGCCATAGAGCTATACAGAAACATGCTAGATCTTCCTTCCACATCCAGTTTCCTCTAATTTGCCTACACTATTGTTTTCAGACCTGTTTAAATCATTAAGTCCATCAATAAAATAAATAGAAAAATCTCCAATCTTGCACTAAGAGAAGTGTCATTGCTGCTAGTATTCAATCTTGAATATGTAATTTAATGCTGCTGATTAGCGATGTGATTTAGACATGATCAATATATTTCATTGTTCTCACGTGTGATTTAATATATACACACATTTTCATTGCATATATTTCGATTGCCAGAATTCTGTATTTATATTGCTTATCAAGTTTATTCACTGAAACTTGGGTAGTGAAGCCTATATACCAGGTCCTGCATGAGTAGTTAGCCTCTATATCAGATCTTATATAGTAAGCCTTTTGTACCAGTTCTGACTAAGGCTAGGTGCATAAGTGGCCTATATTCCGGGTCTTAACATTCTTGGAACTAACATTGGGGGTCCTAGAATCATCTGCCCACCAGCAGGGCCTATGACGCCTCCAGACCCACTTGGGATAATCATTGGATGATGTCCAGATTGTTGAGCCTGGGCTTGTGCAAGAGCTATCTGCTGAAGTTGTTGTTGCTGCTGCTGCTGTTGTTGTACAGCTTGATTCACCAGTTGCTGTTGCACAAGCTGTTGATGTTGAAGCTGTTGATGCTGAAGCTGTTGTTGCAGAACAGCTTGTTGCTGCATTTGCTGAGCAGCCGCTGCCATAGGATTTGCAATCACTGGACCATGAGGGGACTGGACAATTATCATCTGAGGCTGAGCTTGCTGTGTTGCCACAGACATAATAGGCACAAGCTGTCCACCTGCAGAGGAACCACCCATGGACATAGGAACCATGTGGCCACCAGAGATTGCACTCAATTGCTGTAAACTAGCAGGGATACCTGCAGTGAGCCCACCTGGAGCTGCAATGACGGGTGCTCCAGCCTGAGGAAGCACCCCCTGGTGGATAGGTATCAACTGAGGTTGTTGGGCAATTATTATAGGCTGTGGGGATGTTAACTGTGGAGATATGGACTGAGCAGCAAGCTCTAATGCTTCAATTTGTTTCTGTTCCTCATCTAATTCATCATCATCCTTAAACTCAACGCCATCTTCCTCTGCTTTTTGCTTACGTTTCTGCTTATCAGCATGCTGCATGGCCTGCTGTTGTAGTAGCTTATATTGTTCCATTTGTTCGGGTGGGATACTCAAAGGTAGTTCTTCCTTATCATCAGGGGGTGTAGGGTTATCTGGTGGTGGAGAATCCGGAAGATTAGGTGGGGGAGGAGGACGCCTGGCTGCTTCCTGAGCTTGTCTCCTTCGCTCTTTTCTATTCATCTTCTTAGGGCCAGGGTTATTAAGACTATATATATTGTTGTTTGGCACTGCATTTGCTGGAGAAGGAGTAGGACCAGTTCCAGGTGACTTACTCTTCTCATTTTTAGGAGCAGTTTTATCAGTAAGTTGAACTTTGTTAGGAGGAGTAGGTGGAAGTGGTACCTTGAAGAGATCAATAGGAGTGCCATACTCAGAGACTCCATATTCAGTGTCCTTAGAATCTGAACCAGGTGGGAGAGGAATATCAAGATTTTTATCCTCATCATTTTTCGCTTCAGCCTCTCTGGCTTGTTTTTCTCTTTCAAGAGCCATTTTCATTATTTCTTGCTTTTCTAAGTATGTTTCTTCTCTCCTGTCCCCATCTAAAAGATTCTTTCTCCGTCCACTATTAGGAGCTTTACCAATAATAGAGACAACTTTCTCTGGAACTCCAAAACCAGCTGCAGGGTTCCTACCAACCAGCCCAGTTTTACTCATCACAAGTTCTCCCTTTCCAACTTTCTTGAGCAGTTCTTGAGCTTTTGCATCCACATCAGGGCCTGACTTGAGTGGCACTACAAGCTGGTTGGGTTCAAATGTCTTCTGTTCTCTTTCAGCTATAGGACGCCTAACTGGCTTGGGTTCCCGATGAGGGAGGACAGATTTGAATTTCTCATCTGGACTTGATTTCATTTCTCTTCTATATGATCTACTCCTTGATCTCCTATGTCGTCCTCTTGATCTGGATCTACTTCGAGATCTACTATAACTTCTACTGTAACTTCTTGATCTTCTTCTTGATCGTGATCTACTTCTTGAGTATGATCTACTTCTACTCCTTGTATATGACCTGTGCCTCCTTCTAGATCGTGACCTGCTCCTTGTGTAGGATCTCCTGTCTTGGGAGTAGGATCGAGAATGAGACCTATGGTAGTCATCATCAGAATAGCTGCTATAAGAGCGACGTCTTCTACGTCGGCTCCTGCTTCGACTACGTGATTTTGTGCGTCTCTCATAGTCACTCTCTGAAGATGATGAATAAGATCTGTGACGTTTAGAGCGACGTCGATGACGGTCATCCTCGCTACTGCTAGAGTAATCATGTCTATCCGAGTCTTTTCTAGATCTTTTTGTCTTCCTTCTAGACCGACGAGAGCTTCTCTCTTCCTCCTCAGATGATTCCTCACTTGTTGATCTTCGATGTGATTTTCTAGAGCTCCGTTTACTTCCATGATCACTCTCTGAATCAGAGTGATGTTTGCGATGGGAATTTTTATGGTCATCAGATCGTGCACTCCTAGGATTAGGTGTGCCTTTCATAGACTGTGCTTTAGCTAACCTTAAAGCATCCTCTTTTTCCTTTTTCTTTATTGCACGTTCAATGTTCACATTTAAGGGCAGCTGGATCATACTCTGCTCCATTTCACTGTCACTGCTAGTATCCCATTTAGATCTACTGGTATCTTTTTCAAAATCCTCCATTTCTTGTATATGACTAAGCTCAACTTTGTTTGGAGGCTGTGTAATGCCATGCTTTGGCTCTTTTTTCACCTTCTTTATTTTCTTTGCAGATTCATTTTCACTTGATCTTCGTTTTTTAGTTAGCTTAGCTTTCACTTTTTCTGGTTCTGTTTTTGTTTTTCGTTTTTTCTCAGTGTCAGAATCTGAGTTATTATGTACAGGAGATTTTTCTTTGGTTTTTGTAGGGGTCACTTTTTCAACTTTAACTTTGACTTCTTCACTGAGACTTGTTGACTTTGATCTCTTGCTCACAGATTTTGAGGTCTCCATGTCAGATTCTTCAGATGATGAATCCCCACTGGAGTGGTCCTTTTTATTCTTTTTAGTTTTCTTTTCTTTCTTCAGCTTCTTATGCTTCTTTAATTTAAGGCCAGTTGGGGACAATTGTTCATCTATAGGTTCCGTTTTTATTTTAATGTCACTTGTTTTTACCAAATCTGTTTTGCTAGAATCTAATTCAGTTTTTATTTCCTTTTGTTTATTATCTTCTTTGTCATCATGTTCAGACTCTGTGGCTTCACTTTGAGAATTTTTGGACTTTTTAACTTTCTTTTTCTTAGATTTTTTACTTTTCTTTGATTTCCTATGTTTTGCTTTCACATCATCTTTGTTTGTCTCACCTAGTGTACTCATCTCATTTTCTTTACCCTCTACAAGAGTTTCATCGCCATTTTCCAGTTTAGACTTCTTCGACTTCTTGCTTTTCTTTTTCTTGTGTTTACGTTTTCTCGGTTTATCAACATTTTCTTTATCCTCTTCGTCATCATCTTTGGTTTTATCTGAATGTTTATGCTTCTTTTTGTGTTTTTTCTTCTTTTTCCTCTTCTTATTGACATCTTTGTCATCCTTCTCATCTTCAACATCAGCATCATCCTCTTTAGTGATGCTGATCTGGCTGTCATCCTTTGATTCATTTTCTTTTTGATCATCAGCATCAACTGCGTCTTTCTTACTTTTTAATCCCAACTGTTGTCGGAAATCAAAATGTAAGGGGTTACAACTAAAGGAGATAGAGGGGTCACATTTGGTATATTGGATCATTTCTGAAAGCCATTCAATCTGTTGACCATTGATACCTTGAACTTTCACTACATCAATTTCAGGCAATTTTTTATCAGACATGTCTGGTTTAAAAGGCTCAACTTTCTCAAGCACCAGTTTAGGAGCAGACATTAACAGTTGCTCACTCATTGGAACCTCAGCAAAAACTGATGGTTTTTCTAACTTAGATGAAGTACTAATTACCATTTTGTTCTTTTTGCCAAATGAGAATGAAATCCCAGATTGTCCAGCTATAACTTTGGGCTCCTCCTCTACCTTAGGCTCGGGCATTGGTATATTGTTCATGACCATATTAGGCATAGGTATTGCTGCTAGCATGTCCATTTGAGGAGTTGGTTCAGGCATGGGTATATCCTCTACAGGCTGTGGCATAGGTATACTAGCCACCCCTCCAGCCCCAGGCAGGGGTATGTCAAGTAAAAGTTCATTGTTCTCGCATTGTAGTGTAGGCATAGGTATGTTTTCAAGGTCATCAGTTTCATTATCATCTTCATCTTTATCATCCCCTGGCAGTGGGTTGCCAGAAAGGATATGCTCAACTGCCTCCCTGGAAGGAATGGAATATTTTAGTTAAAAACAGGCCACATGTGAAAATTCAGATAGTTCAACTTAAGGTAGGACATTGCTGTAGATCAACTTTTTCTACAATTCATATTTACTTTAAAAAAATATATGTGAAAGATATACTGCTGAATAACAAAATATGTGAACATCAGAAAGCTTGACCGTCTGGTTATTTCTAGAAAAATAATTTAATTTAACATGGGTTTCAATGAGAAAATGCATTTTTTCAAATAAGAAAATTAAGCATGCAATATGTCAAGCCATGCAATGTGTCAAGTTGTACATTGTATCCTATTCCAGTCTTCTAAAGTGTCATATTGCCCAATGAGTCAAGTCATGCAATATGTCAAGTATCAAACTGTTCTTTCAATGTGTCAAATCATGCAATGTGACAAGTTCTATACTGTGTCCTATTTTTGTTTATCCAAAGTGTCAAATTGTCTAATCTGTTTTTCAATGTCCAATCATGCAATGTGTCAAGTTGTACATTGTGTCCTATTTCTGTTTTTCAATGTCAAATCATGCAATGTGTCAAGTTGTACATTGTGTCCTATTTCTGTTTTTCAATGTCCAATCATGCAATGTGTCAAGTTGTACATTGTGTCCTATTTCTGTTTTTCAATGTCCAATCATGCAATGTGTCAAACAGTACATTGTGTCCTATTTCTGTTTTTCAATGTCAAATCATGCAATGTGTCAAGTTGTACATTGTGTCCTATTTCTGTTTTTCAATGTCCAATCATGCAATGTGTCAAACAGTACATTGTGTCCTATTTCTGTTTTTCAATGTCAAATCATGCAATGTGTCAAGTTGTACATTGTGTCCTATTTCTGTTTTTCAATGTCCAATCATGCAATGTGTCAAACAGTACATTGTGTCCTATTTCTGTTTTTCAATGTCCAATCATGCAATGTGTCAAGTTGTACATTGTGTCCTATTTCTGTTTTTCAATGTCCACTCATGCAATGTGTCAAGTTGTACATTGTGTCCTATTTCTGTTTTTCAATGTCCACTCATGCAATGTGTCTTACTTCTGTTCCTCTAAGCTGCATATTCTGTTATCAACAGTCTTGTCTGTGCTGCCATCTATATCCTTGGTACCATCATCTTTCTTGCTGCCATCCTTCACGGGGGTCTTCTGAAATTTACATTGAAGTTTTGTTGAAGCCTACTTTATGAGTCATTAAATAACCCCTGAAGACAAATCTTTTTCCAGTTATGACTTTTTCAATGTCACACAATGATTATAGTGCTACATAACTTTTCATAGGTGATATGGGAGGCAATGATATGTTCATGATACTGCATTCACAGTATAAGATACAAGATACAAGAACACAAATGTGTACAACATGTCCCCACCAATGGGTGATCCTATATACTGCAAATTTTTCATCCTGAATGCCTAACACTAATCAGTTGAAAAGACAAGATTTTAAGAGAAAAATCAGTTCCAAGATTTTCATACTAAGAATCATCCCTGAAAAATTGATCCCTCAAATGGTTAACCTGAAAACGCAGACAAGACTTTACAGACAAGATTTTAGGATGGAAAATCCAAAATGGCTACCTTAACATTTACCCAGAATGCCAAAAAACTAATTAGTTCTAGATTTTCATATTATAAATCATTCCTTAAAATTTGAAATCGATCTGTCAAACTGTTATCCTGAAAATGGGTAGACAAGCCTTCACAGACCGATTTTAGGACGGAAAAGCCAGAATGGCCAACTTAAAATTTATGCAGAATGACTAAAAAGTAATCAGTTCTAGATTTTCATACTAGAAATCATTCCTAAAAATTTGAAATTGATCCCTCAAACAGTTAACCTGAAAATGCATAGACAAGACTTTAAACACAGATTTTAAGACGGAAAATCCAAAATGGCTGCCTTTACATTTATCCAGAATGCCGAAAAACGAATAGATTTTCATATAAAAATTTATTCCTGAAAATTTGAAATTGATCCGTGAAATGGTTATCCTGAAAATGAGTAGACAAGACTTTACCGACACAATTTTAGGACGGAAAATCCAAAAAGATTTTCATACTAAGAATCATCCTTGAAAATTTGAAATTGATTTACCAGATGGTTCACCTGAAAACGCGTAGACAAGACTTTACAGACAAGATTTCAGGACAGAAAGTCCAAAATGGCTGCCTTGACATTTACCCAGAATGCCAAAAAACTAACCAGATCTAGATTTTCATACTAAGAATCATCCCTGAAAATTTGAAATGGATCCGTTAAACAGTTATCCAGAAAACGCATAGACAAGACTTTTCAGACAAGATTTTAGGACGGAAAATCCAAAATGGCTGCATTGACAGCTATTACTCAGAATGCCAAAAAACTAATCAGATCTAGATTTTATGCTAAGAATCATCCCTGAAAATTTAAAATTGATCTACCTAACAGTTCATCTGAAAACGCGTAGACAACATTTTAGGACAGAAAATCCAAAATGGCTGCCTTGACATTTACCCAGAATGGCAAAAAACTAATCAGATCTAGATTTTTATACTAAGAATCATCCCCGAAAATTTGAAATCGATCTACCAAACGGTTCACCTGAAAACGCGTAGACATGACTTTACAGACAAGATTTTAGGATGGAAAAATCCAAAATTATTTATTAAGCTACTAAATATTTAAGTATGAAAACTCAAAAAACACCATTCAAAATGATACAAAGTATTATTGCACGCTAACTTTTCTTAAGACATTCAAAGTGGCTGCCATGACTGAGCTAACAGGTCCAAAACCTAATCAGATCTAGAATGAAGTGAGTTAAACAAGATGTTAAAGTTTTCAAAGCAAGTGTGAAGCCGTTTTCTTTAAGTTTGCAGACAAGGATTTTAGCATTTGACTTCAAAATGGCCGACAGGAAGTAGGTATCAAGTTCAAATTTTTCATCCACATCTGTATGCACACGGACGTGCCTAGGCCGACAATATGGCCCCACACTATGTGGTGGGGACATAATAACAGGCATCAACATGCAAGATGACACCACCTGCCATTTGTTAGACACCATGTCACAGATGCAGAACACGAACCGCCGTCCACAAAAAGTTTGAGACTAAATATACACTTGTGAATTAATCATATACTATGTAAGAACAATGTAAGGCTACCTGGTCATCAGTTTCTGTAGCAGTAGATTCATCCTCAGTTTCCTCAAGTGGCCAATGGGTGAGCTTCTCTGTGCCATCCTGCAAAACAGCAACATGCTTTTTCACCACTTGTAAGGTTATTGCAAGCACGACAAAAGTGTAAACACAACTGTTACAGTCATTATAATTACCAAAGTGAAAACATTGACAACCGTGTACTATTTCATTGAATTTAGTCTTTGAAGTAAAGAAGCCTATGTATGACCTTTAAAGCCACTTTTCCATAAGATGCTGCTGGTCTAAAAATGCTTTGTACTACTGACTACTGCAACCCAAATCAATATGCCCAACTTACCTCATTCTTAGACTTAGTCTTTGATGTATTCTTCAACTTTTTAGGAGGAGTAGTAGTCTTAGTGGCAGTCTTATTTGTGCTACTTTTAGAAGGTGTGACCTTGAGAACTAGCTTGTCAGAGGCAGAGGTGTCTCCGTTTGTAGAATCTACAATTATAGCAGAATGTATTTATATGTGCCTACACAGAGCTGGATACACACATAGACCATCATCCTAGCTAGAAACATCTTTAAGTTAGACATTTGTATGTAAAACTATCCGGAGAAATGCAATGTGTTAAAGGCGTAACATCATATGTCCACTCACAAATAATAAATATAACAAAAAGGCATTAGTACCACAGAATTACATGGTAAAACTACACATCATTATGGACAAAAACAAGGCGAGATAAATATGATAGGTAATGTGAACTAATAATCCAAACACACATATTGTCAAGGCAACCATATATGGTGTACTATATATATCATAGCATTACATCACATATTGTAATATTATCCAGTACAAATCAAGACACCCAACACTAGGTATAATAAATAGCACACACTATATAAGCCAAAAGTCTCTAGTGTTGGGTCACTTTTCTCATGTACAGTTACTAAGAGGTTAGTTTTGAATATAAAACATATATATTTACACCATATACCTTAAAACACAACCATAACAAGAAAATACAGCATGGTGGAGGTTTAAAAGCTAGAGAAATATGCACAATGTTTACCAGTTGGTGTTCGATCCTTCTGCCTTTAACTTAGCTGTTGAGAATAAATAGGCGTTTTGTATTAGGAGACACATTGAGATATTTTTACACAGCAAAATCTTGTTCTTACAATTTTAAAGCTCAAACTTAAACATTCTAAACTACTTCATTAAATCAGTCTTAACAAGAAATGTTCATTTTTGTATATTATTTATTGTGAATGTTAAATAAAGACTTGGCGTTAGGTTGTGATTGTTCAGATGAGTGCTCCAGAAGATAGAAGGGAGTGATATCTATATTTATACAAACCAAAAGGAAAAGCATAACTACGAGAAACTCATGTCTTTCTACCAGTACCAGTCCATTAACATGTTGCACATGAACATGATGAAAATTAACATGTTGAGTACATTAACATGTTATACAATAACACAGTATATATTAACATGTTATATATTAACATTTTGTATATAAACATGTTTCACATTAACATGTGTTTTATATTGACATGTTATAATTTAACATGTGTTATATATTAACATGTTATATATCCATGTTGTATATAATCATGCTATGCACATCAGTATGCTCTGTAAACATGTGTTTTATATTATCATGTGTTGTACATTAACATGTCCTATATTAACATGTATTCTGCAATGTACAATAACATGCTCTATATTAACATGTACTAGAAACAATATTAGAACCTTCATTTACTATGATGATTCCATTTTGTAACCAGAACATTTTTACACTTGAGACAAAAATCAAACAAAAACTAAGCTGTTACACTTGCCCTTTAATTGGCAGTATTTATATAAAAAAAAACAGTAGTGTATGACAAATCACAAAAACAGTAATTGAAATTATCATATAAGCTCAACAAAATGCACATTTTCTGCTGAAACACAGGAAAAATAATCCAAACGCATCTAATGATTAGAAGATCTGTAAATCAATATGGAAAAATTGAATTTGCCAGGACTTCAAAGGCGTTTATAAACCTGATATCATTATTAATCTGGCCAACTTAAAGCGGCTGTCATATCAATATAGCTAAGTGACAAACACATATTTTTACTAGTGAGTCATATTAAAAAAATGAATGTTATAACTATTGAATCTCTCTGGTATTAAGTCACAGCATCGTCCATGGCAACAAGCATTTATAGTTGACAGTATCATAGTCACGGATCTTTCTAGCTGAATGCTAGGCATAAGTCTTAATCTATTACATGATGTGTCACTGTATTTAAAGGGCAAGTGTCATAGGCCAGAACTTAAATGTCAAAGTTCTATGAACTTCACGAAGATGTAATAATTGCGTGTCCGTGCACACTTTGAAATCATGAAGTGTTGTTCATGACTTATCCAAAATTTTTGAATATATTTTTGAAAGATCATAGATTCCAGAATGGTCAATTTTAAATTCCATTTTGCCAATTCATCTGCTATAGCACTCAGCGATTTTTGTCCCATGTGTTTTACATTTACTGATAAAGAGGGCAGCACGCATGCAGCATACACTAAGCTACAGGACAATAGGGGGCGCTCTGCTGGCAGAAAGACGGAAAATCAAGCCAGTGGTAAACCTATACCGGTAGCACAATATTAATTAGAACCAAAAAACTGGTGGTGCCTCTTTACCTTACCCCTATACACTTTTACAATCTAATCAAAAGAGCAGAAATTTTAGTTTTACAGTTCATGTGGTTTTATCTTACAACAAATCTGAACTTTATTTTTATTCTTTAAGTAGGCTTAAAGTTACAACTTTATTTTATTGTTCTTTTTGTAGCTGTTGTTGTTGATTGCATGCAAACACGTGTTTACTGTACTTATAAATTACTGTACAATAAATAAATAATGAAAAAAATATTTAACTATAGAATATGAACTTCGTAATTAAGTGAACACTCCTCACTGTACACTGTGACGTCAACAAAGCTGCCACTTGACAGTGCATTCTCATGTTATTTTGGGGTTAGTAGTTATTATATTATTATTACGTCAACTAACACTGACTACTGCATCACAGAATTTCTAAAATAATGATATTTAATTTTTTGAAGATGGAGAGGTTGTAACTGACCATCCAATATATTAAGCAACAAATTTTGAAAGTGCAAAATTGTAACACAATTCATATAAAAGGTTGCGATAAAATGATTTTTTACATCAGTGGCTAAATAGTAGAAATCACTTGTGTTCTGACATCAGCAATCATCTCAAGTTTCAATCAAGGGAAACATATGAGCAGGTGAAAGGACAAAAATATAACAAGCTGCAAGTCCTACATTCAATTCCAATATAGCTTGGCTAGTTGCTGAGCTATCTTGAAGATAAATACAGGGCTGGGGCCAGTTTCAGGAAAATATCATAAATTACAAATCCTGAGATTCATTTGCCCCAATATTGCCATTGTCACATCTTGGAAGATAAAAGAAACAAAGGAATTGTAATGTACGAAGTTTTCGCAAAACGGGCTCTTGTGTATTGGATGGTTCAGCTAGAAATTCTATGAGGCAAGTATGATGGATGACTGGTATCTCCTGGGATAACTTTCTAATGCCACCAGGTTAAATCAGTCTCTAGACTGTATAGACCCAACACCAAACCAATCAATGTAAACTCAGTCTGAGTTATAAGTCTCATAGCAAGCACTCTACAGTACATACTTACTGTATACACGGGATGATTGGGGGAAAGGGCAACTTAAATAGTCTGCCCGAGGGTCCCCCGGGGCTAAATCAGACCAAATGAGGGGACATTTTTATGATGGCAAGGTGGTACCACCTAGCCCTCTTAGGGACCCACCAGCTATTTGAGTAGAATGGACATCATCAGCTTTGACACTAACTTAAATCCAAGTTCTCAATTGTTGAGAATTAAGTTTAACAAAGCTGTTGTTTGCCATGGATACTCAATCAAGAGACCCTGAACTTTCTCTATTCACATTAGCTCATTAACATACATATCACAGGTAAGGGGAACAAAATGTGTTGACGGTAGGACTAACATTTCCTCTATTTTAACATTAATATATGTGAGCATGGGTGAAAGGAGCAAGCACACCTCAACTAAATCATTTAACATTTTCGATAATTCTTCAAGTGCTGTTTAGGGACAATGTCATATAGAAATGTATGTTCACAAATGTTATGATTACCTTTAAGATTCTCTAACTAAAAAATCAATGTCTGGTAACAAATCCTGGGTTTTTATCCCCCTCCTATGAGTGTAAACAGTTACATTTGTGGACTAACATAAACATATTGACCTTGTGCTTTTAAACATTTCAGGAGTCTCGCATAGAGAAGATCAGATGGTACATGTTCTTCAAACAAGGCTGTTGATTATGAATCAACTCAACTTCCTATTGATTTTTTAGAATATCCTTAATCATATCAAAGAAACAGCGATAGAAATTGAAGAATAGATCGAATATGACAAAAATAAATATCACAAATCTATGATTAACACTTTATCAGTGCACCTCATTCCCCATATTACTTCCCTTTTCAAACATACATCACAGGTTAGTAATGGTGCATAGAGTTAGTCTTTGTAACACTGACTACGGGATCAGGCTTTGTAACATTAACCCTTTCAAGAAGCCAGGTGTTCAATCACATCAGACATGAAAGGGTTAAAGGCAAAGTGAAATTAGATTATCATGATAAAAGCAAAATGCAAAACTATATTGTGGCGGGAGATGGGAGTATACATGTTTTACACATCATGCATTATCATAAACTTACAAAATCAACGCAAATCAGGAATCATTTCTACAATCAGTGTTACAGTTTACGTCATGTTACCATCAGGATCGCATATCTCAGAAAGTAATACATATATTTTTTCATCAAATAGTCCTGGAGTCAAAACTGAGTTCAATCTGCAAGTTTTGCACAAGGATAACATCAATTGCCTCAAGAACACAAATCAAAATGTGTTTCTTTTAAAGGATATTGATGATGTATTGTATTATATGAGGTAAAACACAATTGTAGAAATGATTGTTTAGATACAGGTTGTGCCAAAAACACATGTATACTCTTGGTGATGACATCTAGGTTGGAACTCAACACAAAAACATATGAAAATGGAACAAACTATCATGCCTGATTAATACAACTTGAAATGCTGAAAAATGTAGACAAAATACTGTTTAAATGATGGTAAGAGATCACCTATGATGCCAGTCTATAGGGGGCACTCCATGTAAAAAGTACAGAAAAGAACAGAATCAGTGCTTTGCCTGCACGTAAAATCCATAAAGCAAAACATGATTTATTTTATTAAAAAACGATCCAGACACCGTATGAGCAATTTTAAATTTGAATTTCCTGATTCTAGTAAAACAAATGAGTTGATTATGTGATAAGGCCGAGTTTCCCTTTACAAGATTGGTGTATATAAAATATTATACAAATACATAGAAGTGAAATCATAAATATACATAAGTACTTTATAGCGTTACTTCATTCCTACAACAGTCGTGGCTAAATAACCTATACTAGAACACTATAACAAGGCAAGCAGTGTTACTTCTATTTACAAACAAATATTATATATAAAACATAAATTCAAGAATGAAGTGAATTGAGATGAGATAAATAAAAAAACACAAGCAAACATTCCAGAATTAGTGGCAAAAGAGCTAGGCATATTATAAAAAAGGATGAACTTAATATTAAACAAGAGTCATTGGGGTAGGTTTAATAAAGGTGTGGCGATATCGCGGTCTTGTCTACCAGTCGGCCATGTTGTATTTACACATCGTTTGATCATCGAACAAGGCTGGATCAATGTGAAATGTTTTACAGCATTAAATAAGATCTAAAATACGAGCATGTGACATATTTAAGGTCTAATTGAGACCTTTAGAATTCAGAATTTGTAGTAGACACTTCCAGCCTTGCCAGGATGTAAAGAATAACCATCGAAGCCTTACCTTGAAATTTCAGCCTGTAAAATATAGTGGAATATTTAGTATATGCTTGATAAATTCTCACATAGGGCAGTAGGGTGTTTAGCTATTCTTCACACGTTTCAACCTTCCTTGTGTGGGTTTTAATTAATCTGAGGGAGAGCAGTTTTCTATAGTGTAACTAATACCCTGTCAGTCGTATATTGCTTCTCTCTGCATTATTTATTTGTTAGTGAAATGAGCTCTGAAGCTTCAGTTGCATTATTAAAGGCATTACTCTTAGATTTCAACAATACATCCTTGATAATTGCTCACTTACTGCAATAATGACGATATGACTCTATGATCATTTGCGCTAAGGCAGCCTAAATGCTCTTTTTAATAAAAAAATATTATATCAGCTAGAAATTATAAAAATCTCTGATTTGTATTCAAAAATATGATCTATGAGGAAATAATGAATTAACAAAACAAAAATTTACCAACTCTTAAGAAATGCTTGACATCAAATACATCCCATAATTGTATGTCACATATAATGGTAAAAGATGGCGCTAACAGTGACATGCATTCATCCCAGCACTCGCTAATGTCCCTACAACATGGCTGACAGAAAACGTGACACGCGGCGTCTATATGGTGTAATTTAAGGTGCATATCCCCACAATAACCACATACCATGAAATAGGTGTCTATGTCACGCCTGGATGACCAACTAGGACAGAAGATAGTCCCGGCTCACACATGAGACTATCTCTGCATAGTCAGACACACCTAAGACTAACCCCGCTTTTAATGAATTTTATTATAAAATTGTAATTTATATCCTATTAGACTTATTTTTTAATAAAAAATAATTTTGTTGGAAGCAGGGTTGGTCTTTTGTAAGGACATGATTTAATTATTATATTATGAAGAAATAATTAAAAAGTGCCAAAACATTAAACTTATAATAAATAAACAATGACTGGTATGATAGCTATTATAATATTCCACATACTACCACTCTAAACCAAAGCTTTTGCTGGCGCACTATATTCGCTTGATGCAGGATTAGTGCATTAGCATGGACAAACGTTGAAGGAAAAGGTTAACTTTTAGATTTCTCATAACAATTATATGGAAAACAAAGACAACATTGATAAAACCTGACCAGGGAATTGCTCAGCTTTGCTACCTGATCTGGGAGGAAATAAGCAAACAATGTAAACTGTAAGGTGAATCGTTGTAGCTCCCAACAATGTAAACTGTGAGGTGAATCGTTGTAGCACCCACTCTCGCTATCCCACTTCCCTCCCTTAGCCATTCACTATTAACAGTAATTGCACTTATTCTTGTCATTCCTAGCTATTCCCTGTATATTGATAATAGAGAGATTTCACCTGCCTAATGTTTTTTAGTTCCAAATATCTGCATCCGTAATATATTGATAAAAAATAGCGAACATTATGAAGATCAATTTGTTGGTGATACAGAAAGTGAAGCCAAAATGGTGTGTGAAACATCTCTTAAATTTGCCACCTATCCCTCGCCATCATCCTCTGTAAGTATGCGGGGAAAATATGGAGATAGGTAGCTCCTGGACACGGATAGAAGCTGTAGTATATAACTGGGGTGATGACGGATTAGGAGAGGGGTGGGACAGGGGGGGGGGATTAGGGAGAGGACTTGAGACTCAGAGGATGCTGGCCAAATGATATTTGGTGCCTTATAGTTTCTCAATTCAAAATCTTCAAAACAATTCTATCACAATTTTATCAAGAATCAATGTTTTTAAAGAATATCAATCACAAAATATGTCTTGGTAGTCTTCCATTATCCTAAAATTTTCCATGAATTATATGAGAAAATGTATTTGACTTTGTGCATTATGAGGAAGTTTCCTTCAATGCCAGATAAACCAATTATGACCGCTAAGTGCAATGATACTGTCAGTGATGGCTGATCCATTGGCTAGAAATAATACCTCTCCATGATGAATGTAGCAATTACATCAATCTCTCGTTCTTTCTAATGTCAAGATCAAGATGGAGGATATATTCAAGCAAATGAACCATTTTCCCTTTTCCCAATATAATATGTCCTCAACGTTATTTGGAATATATCAATTAAGTGAAACAGCACATTGAAATAATCAATTTAAGAAAGTACTGATGGTTCTGGCTTAAACTCTTTGAGCTGTTTTTTTTATCTTCAAAATATTATCACAAAAATCAACTTACTTTGTGTAATAGGTGGCGCCACTACATCCCCGGAAGCCTCCACAGCCGCCCCCTTTGTCCTGCTTCTCAAATTCTTCTTCTCAATCATGTTTTCTTTTGTCTGTAATCATAAAAAATCTAGGCTTGATAAATGCGTCAAGTTCAACTATTTGATACTATGTGATGATATACTGTCATATCTATAGTAATATTGTATAATGTTGTTTTTAAAGTGATACACCAATTTTAATGTTCCACATTATTAAATGTATCTGTCAAATAAATAAATGAATTATAAGCATGATGCATATATATAAGAGACTGCAAATTGAAATTCATTGTTGAGAAGTGCATGTAATTAATCCTTGAGTAAGAAACATCCTAACATAATTAAACAATGGTTGAATCATGCAGAAATTATTTAAAGTTTATCTTGCATCATGTGTCTAGTCTTGCATGACAAGTCTATATGCCATGCATACCCACTGATATATCTCCCTACACAGGATAAAGAAATACACATGGGTCTGTTTTTGAACTGTCACAACTATGATTTGACCGCAAGTCAATGTTTGTCATAAAATAGACAATGATTTTCTTGGAATCATAAGTTACGATCATACCAAAAACAAATCCCAGGGGAGAAGGACTGATACAAAAGTAGAGGAAGTAGAAAGTATAGCAATCAATTGAGAGTGAAGCTCCAGTCACATTTGTACTACAGTGGCCGAAGCTTCACAAAATCAAAATAGAAAATCGACATCGTACTGCTTATCCCTTTATTTTATGCTGCATATTTCTCTTGATTTGGGAAGCTATGGCCAACATACAGTTGCAGTAGATTAAATATGACTGAGGCATAAGTTCATTAAATTATCATTTTGAAGTCATCTGGCAACATATGAAAAGTAATGTAAAACATCCACTATTTATCAATTCAGCTGAATTTGTACATTTCTGCAACTTAGTCTTCAATAACTTCTATATTCGATCAGGTATCTCTATCAATTTAAAAACTGTAAGCTAAACACATGAACACTTTATTGAACTTTTAATCATCATAAAAGACCTGTAAATATGCAAACAGCATCATTGATAACTTCATTCTTAATGCTATACTATCATTCTGCAAGACTTTAATACATATTCTATGCAGAAAACCATCTGGCTGAAACTGACATTGAGGAGCATTAGAAAATCATATTCATCATCATATAATTGGAGAAGTAGATTGCGATGTCTCCTTTCTGGCTATAAATCCAGTCTTTCTGATCTAACAATCAGGTATCAGCCATGAAACTCTGGATAACATGATTCAAAGCTAAATTAAACAATGATTCACAGAAAAATAAACTTTAAAGTATACCCATCATTATTTATGTACCCTAATAACACGTCAGTTTAACTCAAATAAAAGGTGTTCAATTTCAATGACTGTTTAATAAAACCTATACAAAGCTAAAGTAAAACTAAAGTAAAAGTACTGACAATGAAAGGTTTCCCCTTTTCAAAGAATATTCCCTATATAAAGGCACAATTGTTTTAAGATCCACAATCATATCTGTCAAAAATATACTGTATGGATGTTATTATAACAAGGGGAAGATGTTAAAAAAACAATTTTGTCTTTGGTACTATAACATACATTATACAATAGTCAATGATTTGAATAATGGGAATCTCCAATCATATGGAACATCTGATTGATTCATTGCTGGGACACAGCCTCTATACTTTGTAAAAGGCCAAACATGTTGCTAGTTGCATTCTGAAACTCGTAGCATCTTTCTGTTTCACAAGACTGAGAAGAAATGAGATGGCATGGTTTATCATGATGTGACAGTTCAAAAACTGAAAGATGAGAGGAGTATCAGAATGGTGGACCAAATACATAGACATGAAGAGCCATTGAAATACAACATAATAAGACATGATATATTATGAAGCTTATTCCTTTGAGATGCTGTTAATTGTACATTTATCTATATTTTACAAGCTGCCTATAAACATACAATCCCCCTTAGTCAGCAGGGACTGGGTTATGGCCACAAATATGTATCACTCTTAGCAGCCGAACAATGGAGTTAATGTGGATGATTGCTCCCCTAGCGAGGTACAGGTGGGTGATAATAAGCTACAAGCACCAGAGAACAATCTAATTAGGCTGCCTAAATCCCTAGCTGAATACTTAAAATATAATGGAATGTATATTAAAGACTGTTATAACAGAATATTATATTAGTCTAGATTAACCATATGTATGTTGTACATTGTATGTATTTTATGCCTCGTATCAATATATTACTTGCTCATCATTTATTATTTTTTTCGCTCTATTGAATGTCTTGCCAATGAAATTGTAAATATGATACGGAGCAATAAAGATATTTAAATTGAATCATATTCATTATTAGCATCTTTGCATTATTGCATTTTAAGTTTTGATCGAGTAAAACAAGAACAAGAAGGGACTAAAAACTACAATTCATGGGTATTTGAAAGTGAAATGAAATTCTCATGTTAAAATTTTCTGTCTACTTATTCTGATTCAATTTAGGCTTGATCATTATAATAATATCTCTTACAATCAAGAAGTCATGCATCATGATAAATCAAGACATCTCATTTCTTCTAAACCCTGAACAGAGATATTTCTGATGAAACAGAAATATGTTTTGAGTATCAGATGTTAAGTCATGTGAGATCTTGCAAAGTGTAGCATCTTATTGACCAAGTCAAGCCATTCCATATTAATATTGAAGGAATATAATGTAATAACAGTTTGACAGGTAGTGCAGATTAGAAAATCATTACCATTTCCAGTACAGTAAAACCTGTACCAGAACACTCTAATTTGAACACCTTTCAAATGTGAACACTTTCTCTGTCCAAAATTTGTTATCTCCCATTGACTTACATGTTTATAAAACCTTGAAATGTGAATGCTTGCTCATCCATCTGAACACTTTTAGCTGGTCCAAAGAGCATTCAAATTAGACAGGTTTTACTGTAATTCATTTTGGTTGGTTAAAAAGAGCATCTCCACACATAACAAATTACCTTACTTCATCTGCACAGTACATTACTTCATATGTATATTTGCTCTGTAGTTCATCCTTCTTGACTAGATGTGAATTCATTGTATAAATCAATCCTAATCTGAGTCTTTCCCCTTCCTTTGCCTTGCAGATTAGGACCAATAGTATAATTAAATTCAAAGACTAGGAACTAATTTGGTAGCTGCATCAATACAACCTTACCAGAGCATGTTTCAGACAGCTATTGACATCAAACCATGGGGTCTAACTCCAGCAAAAAAGCCTGTGGTCATACACTAGTTTATTAGTGCAGATAATTGATTCTACTAAATAGAAGACAAAATGAGGAAAAATGTATGTTCTGTGGTATCATTAGACTTGAAGGCTCATTTTATAGGCTTCGATGTCTCCTAATACAATAATTATGACAGTTAACATGGCGACTGAAAGTGTGACTAATCTAATTCACAACAGCCACATTCTATAAGTGTCTCTAATAGCTGTTATTGAGTAATACTAAATTATTGTATGACATCTAGTTCTGACAAGGATGGCAGAGTAGAATGTAATCAATGCATTATGGATGATAATGTCCGTCTCTGATGATTAAGAAAACAAATATAAAAACAATGGTATAAGGCCTTGGGGCACCATTACAAAAACACAAAAACAACATATCATTCATCGTAACAATTAAAAATTTGCTTCATAACTGGAGTAATTGTAAGAATTTCTAAAAAATACAATTTAACTCTCATTTACTTTTCAAATTAAAAATAATTCCATTTTCACAATTGATGTGTTTAAACAATATTTAACAGAATTTTATCTCATCCGAGCTGAGGTTACTTGTCCCAAAAAATGGGCAACTGAATGTAATATATAAGAGATCATAATTGAACATGGCTAATATATCAAAAAGATAGTAGAACTCTATAAACTGAGGACATAAAAGAGATATATAACCTCATTTATGAGCAACTTGTCAAATATTGAAGTTATCTTGATTGATTGAGTCTTTGTGAGATGATTTGAACAAGAACCCTCAAAAGAGACATTTTATGAATGTGACTGGTGAACATCAGAAAACTAAGTTATGAGCAATCAAACATTTGAAGAATGATGGAAAATAATGATACATAATTATAACTCTTTTAGAGGACAAGTATTCATGATTATTTTGACAAATTCATTTATACATTCTCTTGCACACTCTAACATTTCCCCGGAGCTCAACTGAGCCGGAATGATAAGCCTCGGTCATCCCCGGGGAGCTCTTAATATCGACAGGAGGTGATTCACAGAATCATCAGCCATTTGCAATCCTATTTACAACGACGCAATTTCTAAAACATTACAAAGTCTTGCGGATATAGTAAACCTCACATATCAAGGTATATTAGATAACTCACTCAAGAAGAATTTTTATGAATTGTTTGGTCTCTGCTATATCAGGTACTTTGAAACATTTTGATTTTATTAATCACAAGTAGATGGAAGGAAAACCAGCCTGAAATGGTGAACTAGAGTTCAGTTAATATGAATTGATGAGTGAGAAAATGCTTGCTGAAAAGGGACATATCAAAAACTCTAAATCTGTTCATGTTTTATGTTTTCAAGGCATTGTCTTTCATGTCTCATTCCAATGAAAATATGTCAGTTCTACACTAAGGGAGAAATATGTACTTAACATAATTCTCGATCAAACATCAGTGTTGTTAAATCCTGACATAGCCCCTATTCTAAATTAAGACCATGTGATACTATAAACCCAGACCTAAAGTAGAGCTAGAGTATTTGTTCACAATTGAAAGGTTTCTAGTAAATTGTTTCGCACTTCTTACAGTTTTATGTTATACCATCCACACCATTCCCTCCAATAAGCCATAATTGAGCTACATATACACCTTACTTACTTTAATTTACCACAGCTCTGTCAGAAAACACTTGGAGGAAGGTGCATCTCAAAAATATCAAAACACCCCAATGTTTCAGCATTGCAATCTGGGAATAGCACAATTCAGAGGATATTACCCAGGAGAAATTGTTTATAATAATTGTCTGAAATAAGACAGTCACTATT